CATAGCTGACAAATACTATGGTTTCTTAAACTTGATCAGCTAATTCTTACTTTTGATAAAAACATTTCTACTAATGTACCAAACACATTATGAATAACTCAAGAAGATAAGGGGAAAATGCATAGTTGCTAGAAGATTTATACTTGTTATGCTTCTGTTGCATTTTCCAATAAAATCTAGGAGAAAAATATGTACTGTGGTGAAGGCTTCAGCTCATGTTGATGAGTTCTCAAAAAGTGATATAATAGTCTCTCCATCTCTTCTCTCTGCTTATTTTGCAAAATTTGGGGGAGCAAGTGCTGTATTTTGCCCTTTGGTCTTTGATGCAAGACTGCTTTGGTTAATAACACTGGCTTTAAACTGTGAAAGAGAATTTGCAATTTATTTTCTTGAACATGCACATATAACTTTTGTTGTTAACATAACTTTGTTTAGCTCAGTCATTCAGTTATTCCCAATTTAATTATTAACATAACTTTACTTGAATGTAATTTCTGGAATTTAGTTTTTGATACCATAATTTGCAAGTCCATTATTTCCAAGTTTTCTATTTATGTCTTATTTGATAACTCCGACATTTTGAACTAAATTTGAAATTACTAATAAGAGTTTGGCTTTCATAAATATTTTAGGTAAAAGCAGTTGAGTTGGCAGGTTGTGACTGGATCCATGTTGATGTTATGGATGGTCGTTTTGTACCAAAAATCAAAATTGGACCTCTTGTTGCTGATTAGTTGATGCATTGCACCCTGTCACATATCTTTCTCTGGATGTGCATTTGGTATTCTTCTTTTAATCTTTTTGCATTTTTCTTCCTTTCCTTGACAAATATTCAATCAAAATTATTGTTGCAATCCTGACAATAATGTGCTGCAGATGATTGTTGAACCAAAGCAGCGAATCCCAGATGTGGGCTGGAGCAGACATAATGTTCATTGTGGGCAATCATCCACCGTCCCTTTGCACCATACACTTAATCAGGTAAGGTTTTCCCAGATCCTTGCTGCCATATTTTTGTATGATACAATTACCCGATTTTATATACAATATTGCCTTGAGGATATATCAATTTTTCCAACTCATGTAACAATACATGTGTTGTGGTATAAAGGACCTATCCAATCGGGCATCTTTATTCTTAGGGGTTTACCATGTGATCCAATCTTATTAATCTCTATAAAGGTTCCTCCTTTAGATAGAAAACCTACCTGTCAAGGAATATTGGCAAAGAGCTTATAACTAATTCTATTTTGATGATTAATGTGATTTTTGGAATTCCATTGTGACACTGGAATCCTGGTCAAGAGAGGTCTGTATGCTGTCTTTTGGCTGTACAAAGTAATTATGAGTCTAATTTCTACTTGTCTCTGCAGTTATTAAAGTGTTCAATAACACTTGAAAATAATCATTTGAGCTGACCATAGTTGAACCCTACTTTAAGATTATTTTGCAGTGATCTGGTAATATTAAGTTTCACGATGAATCTAACTTCAAATCCTCACACTGACTTATATCCTAAATTTGACTAAAATGGGATTATTTATAATAATCATGATAAATACAGTCAGAAACTGGTTTTAAACTGTTGGCTGTGCTAATTTTTACTTGAAAAGATTAACCTGTGACTACTTCTGCAGTTGCCTGTGTCTATTTTGAATAAAAACGCTTACCTATCTAATATCTTGCATGAAAGTCCCTTTGCTACTTGACTGCCACTGTTTCTCCCTTCAGAGAGAGAGACAAGAAAGACAAGAAACATATATTATAAAAAATCTCAAATTACTGTTGCAGCTTCCCATAGAAGGGCACACATTCTACTTTCTCTCACAAGATGTCTCTGCATAACTTGTGAATTTGTTGACAGTAAAATACACTGTCTTCACCTAACATTTTTACAATAATTCCAAGTTTAACCAGCTTTAATTACTAGAAGAAATTAAAGCCTGCAAACCTATTGCTTGACTTTCCTACCCTTAGCTATTATTTCCCTTTTCTCTGTATGATACCACGCTATCACATTCTAATTTTAGAGTAAAAAACTAATGGGCAAATAAAAATCAATAATACAAGCAAGATATCTCTAACTGTAACCTACGCAATACATGCATAAACAAGACAACATGAAAAGCCAAGGAATATTAAGACAACTAGATAAAGTAAAAGGTACTTACCATAAACAGGCTTTCCCTCCTCAGGATAATCTGCCTCGAAGAACTGCTCAAGAGGATTAGAACCTGATGTAGCGGTAGAAGCAGCAGCTGCAGCTGCAGCTGCAGAACTTTCTGATTTGGCAGCTGCCAAGAGAGCTGTTCTCCCAATAAATCTCGATAGAAACATGATTCTTACTAGATTGCTGCACAACAGTACAAATGAGGAATCAGGAAATCTTCATGGTTGCACGCGAATTTTTTTTACTTAAATAAACAACACCTACCCATATGTCACAGGAATGCACAATTAAGAAAACCCACAAAAGATAGATTCATTATATCCCAGATGCAGCATAAAAAACACAATCTGAACAAAACCCCATATGACAAATCAACCTAACATGCAAATGTCTTCAAAATCTATCTGAAGAATATATAAATGAATGACCCAGAAGAGAAAACATATCCATATGATCTTCAGACTTTGCCTACTGAAAAGAAACAATCAGAGTGAAAAGAAAATGAGATATATATATATATATATATATATATATGTAATGAGCAACTTAAAAATGAGATTTCATAACTTGTATAGGTCCCTTTGCATAAGAACTCAAAATCCTGTTTTCCATGGGTTTTTGAAGAAAGGAAGAATAAAGACCAATCGAAGCGATGAAAGGGAAAACCTGACAAACAGCAGGGAGATTGGCTGCGCTACTTAGCCCAGCTCCGGCTTTGAGGTCGTCGTTGAGACTTGAGTGAGGAGAGTAGGCAGAGGGAGAGGGAGAGGAAGAGAACGAGGGGAAGTCGGGGGTGACGAGGGAGGAAAGGAGGGGTTTTGGGGTTTAAGGGCTCAATTAAATTGGGCTTGTTTTGGATTTTTAGTGCCCATCAGCAATTGAGCCCAACACATTTGCAATATTTTCTTGGTAAAATATGGATCTAGTCCAATATTTGAATTTTTTTTTTATCAGCTAGTGAAATATTTGATGTACCAAGATAATTTATATTTATTCCAAAGTAATTAAGAACAAAAATGTGGTAAAGAACCTGGCCTTCTGGGCTAAGTGACTTTGGCCACTCTTGTAAAGTTCATATCTTCCTCTTCAAGAGTAACGGTTCGAGCCGATTTCATTTTAAAATGTGATAAAAAAAAATGTGATAAAGAAATTAACAACAAAAATATGCTTTTTAGTCTAAATTATGAATTTATCAAAATATTCTTAATAAACTCTCCCGATGTGTTAACTTATTAAGGGTATTATGATAATTTTGAGATATAAACTATATATTAAAAGTGCAATACAGACTAAAAACATGGGTCTCAAATTTTTCTTTTTTTATTAAGAATGGACAATTCACCAATTAACCAATATACTTGGTATTTTTCAATTTTTTATTGGTTTAGAATATATATATATATATATATATATATATCGTGACATGGTTGAATTTTGTTAAAGAATTCAAAGAGTGGTAGATTAGACTTGGTTTAGTATGATTATAATTTTTTTTTTATTTTTTATTTTTTATTTTAAAATTTTTATAACTCTTAAATATCAAAATTAAAACACACATACCCATAAACAAGTTAGCCTAAAGAGAACTTAACTGATAAGCAAAAAAATGAATTTCTTCAGAAGACTAACCACACACGTTAGCACAACGAAATTGCATGGAATTATCTACTCTCTTTTTTTTTTTTCTCTTTTTTGAAAGGAATTACCTACTTTTGACCTTTGCAATGTTAAAAATCTTGGTGAGCATAAGCTTTTAAGGAACAAACTACCCTACTTAACCAAATAATGGATCTTTATAGTTAGCTCTATAGTTATAATTATTTTATAATTATAGATAAAAAAATCATAATTATAGAATTAAAAATTTAAACTTTTATATTATAGTAGCGGAATAAACCAATTTTATATAATTTATTATCATCAAATTATATATATATATATATATACATATAAGAAACTAAGTTATGGTGCATTGAATATAAGTAATAAATAATGAAATATATTATTCCTCATTGTGTATAAAAACTAGTAAAAAATTTTATTAAAAATTTTATAAAAGAGAGGTAACGTTTCTTTTTTTCCTTTTTATTGCAAACAAAAAGCAAGGGACAAACTCCTGATGAGATTGAGCATGATATTACCAAGATTTTGACTTTTAGTCGTGATATTATTAACGTAAGAAATTAAAAATGAAATAATAATTATGTTTTTCTTTTAATTAACTTTTGGACTTTCTTAAATGAAATCATGTTATATTAGATTGCAAACTTCCAATTCCAGATTCATTTCTAATACAATACGCCAATGTTGGTGGCTTTTGGCTTTTTTCAATTATTGAGATAAAAGAAATAAACATATTTTTGGGCCTTTTGCAGATCAACTTCCCTTGTACGTATACAAAGAATGTTTTTTTTTTTTTTTTTTTGAACATGAAAAGATATGGGGGATGGGGAGATTTTTTAATTTATTGATAAGAGTCAAATTTTCGATCAATTAAATTCAAACATTAAAATTAAAGGATGAACCATTAAAATCAAAGTTTCGATTTTAGAGAATGTTTTTTTAAAATATTTTTAAGTTATAAAAACAAAAACAAAAAATCAATGAATCTATATATTAAAAGAATTCATAATCTCTAACTATCTAAAAAAGATTTCTTTTTTAGATATTTTGGGGATGAGTTACGTAAATAAAAGGTACATTGTGCAGTTGATTTTTAACTTATTGAACTTTTAATGTAATGTATGGGTGAGTACCCCTTGTACTCTTTTATTAATAACACTTTTAATTCATAAAAAAAAACGTAAATAAAAGGTATTATTGCTTCTAGATTCGACTTGACTCCTTCCTATACCTAATCCTACAACTAGGAGATCCAAACCGAAAAGGTAAACAGATTAATGTCAAATATTAATGTCACATTATTTGTTAAGAGTTTGGTGCATTTTAATTTGAATTACATATTAAAAATGTAGTTTTATTATTAAAATTATTAAATTATTATTAACAAGTAAATATAAAAAAAAGTTTAATTAAAGACATTTTAATAATGTTATTATCAAGGTTACACTTTTATTATGTAATATGATTTTAAAAAAATACTATTTTGATTTGTTAATTAATCTAAAAATATTTTTTCAATAAGGAATACATAAAAAAATATAGTCCACGTATTAAAATTACCAACATACCTTTAATGATATGACTCACCATATTTATTTAGTAATAATATTTTGATAATTTTAATACTTAAATTACACTTTTATTTTATACCTACTTTGTAGAACACCAATATCAATTAATTTACCCTTTATTTATGTCCATGTTTCCTTTATCCCAAGTAGTTCAATACTTTCCTCTCATTAAGGGTGTGAAAAAAGGAATAGGGAGAGAGAACTTAAAAAATCTCTTATTACATCAACAAATCAAAAAAAGGTGTATAGA